CAGAGAGGATTTACATATTTATAGGCCGATCAGTGTTACCGATCAACCTGCAGATCTTCACGAACATACTGACGAACAAACTTAAAAGAAATGAACGCTGCGAGCAAAAGGAATAATTAAGATTCAGAAGTGGATTTTGTACGCTTAATCATCCCCAGGTGGTAAAAGTAATACAAACAAGCCTAAAATATCAGCTTCCTCCGCCTGCGATTCGTTTATTTCGAGAAGGCTTTCGATTCAGTCTATATATGTTCTATATTGGACTCCTTGAGGAATAAGGGAATCGATAAAATATGCGTATGTCTGATCTCCATGATTTATAAGAATGCACCTGCTAGTGTGAAGCTTCACAAAAGCATAAGCCAATTCGAGATCAAAAGGGACGTCTGACGTGAAAATGCGATATCACCGAAGTTATTCGCAGCAGCCCTAGAAGAGGTTTTCAAGATACTCCACTCCGAAAGTCAGGAGCTGAACAAAAATTGGCATCAGTTACGCTACCTTAGGGTGGCGGACGATATTCTGATCGTCTCATGAGCAGAACTACGCCAGCATCAAAGCAGGACTTAAAAGAAACAGTAATAGGACTGACGCCATGCTGAACAAATACATGTGCAAATAAATGACTGCAGGACCTGCTGAATTCTTAATGGATTAAACTTGAAGAGGGGCAACACCACTTCTATTTCGGACGGCTCATCTGCGCAATGGAAAAGGGATTACGTGAAAAGAACAGAAGAAACAAAGTGGCATGGAGCACTTTTGGAAGACTTCGCAATGTTCCAAGAGCACAATGTTGCTTTGCGGGAAACTGCTATAGTGCTTCAAACGGCAAGTTTTTTTTTCGATCAGTGCTGCTTCCAGCGCTAACCTATAGATGCGAAAAGTGAACCTTCAGCCTGGAAGCTATTCATAAAGCGCAGATTAGTCAATACAGCATGGAATGATATAAGTTGGGAATAAAAAGAAAAGACCGGAAAACGAATGCAAGAATCTGTGATTTCACTGGCTTAGTGAAGAAGTTCAGGTGGCAACGAGCAGAAAACACTGCAAAAACCGACCCATGGCTGAAACAATGAAGCGCTTCACTGGGTTACAAGAGAAATTAAGCGGCTCATAAGAAGACCGCCAGATCAATGACCAGAAGATGAACTGAAGTACTCTGAATCAAGGTACATAAAAATGATCAGAAATTTATTGCAAACTCTTGAAGCCGCCTTCATCCAGGAGTGGATCGATAAAAGATGATAATAGTCGAAGACAACTGTACTTATTTGTCATCACGGATTCTTTATTTTTGATTACTGTATGGACAGCAACTAAGCGTTTCATAAGGATCATCAATTATT